ACGCCAGCATGTCCCCCCAGGAGCCAGAGGCCCAGAGGTTCAGAACCCACAACCGGGCTGCAGGTCAGGCCCTTTAGGGCTCCTCCCAGGGGGCGCAGGCGTCCCCAACCTCTCCCTCAGGGCCCCGAAGCTGGGCATTTTGGGGCAAAGCCAGCCAGGAGGGCCAGAATAAACAGAGTGGACTCAATAAAGTGGATTTTCCCAGATTTGCCGCCTTGTTGATCCGAATTGGCAGGCACTGGGGCCTTGCCCCTCTCTCAGACCTTGTCAGCCTCCCTGTCACCACACTGGACCCAGTCATGCATGCGTCAAATGATTCCTGTGTGACTGTCAGCCTGGCCCCTGGGGGCTGCAGGCTCAGCCCCCCACGCTGGCACCAGGCAATAATTACACTTGCAGACCCTGCACACTGAGACCAGGCTGCTTTTTACTATTCCTGATCAAACCTGGGCCCACAGTGGTGACCCCCCCACCCCCTTTCCCTGAGCACTTTCCTCCCAACAGTATCTACTTCAAGTCACATCCACCCTCACCTGCAAACACTGGCCGGGTACCAGCTCCCAGTGGCCACTTCCATTCATTATTCCTGATCCCCAAACACAGTTCTCCACCCCACCCACTGATGCCACTGTGTCCTGTTCCTGCACAAGGACCCAGCACATGAACTGTGACAGTGACTTTACCCTGGCCACTGAGCCAGGCTTCCCTGGGGTCTGTGCTCACCCCATGGCTGGTCCTCCTCCCACTTCCATACAGACTCCGAGGGCCAGCCCTGGCACAGAACTTGGGGTGTCAGTCTGAGAGGGCAACTTTGGGGGAGTATCTGATCAAGGAGTGAGAAATAATGGCACATTTAGACCCCAGAGAAGTGAAGTTATGCACCTTCTCCACGAGGATGCAGTTTTGTGGGTGTCAAGTCACAGCTGACCACCGCCTGGCTCAGCTGACCTCTGACCTCTCTGACTGCTTCACAACATTGTCAGGATTGAAAACAGATGGGGAGCTTCATCTGAGCTTCAGGATGGCCTTTTCCTTCTCACTCACTGGAACCACAATATGCTCCTCTCATTGGCAAAGGATTAGACTGGGGAGGAGGCAGAGATCACATTGTGGGTTGGAGTGGGTTCAAGGGCTGCATGGGATGCGGGGACAAGATACGGTGATGGGGGCTCTCTGGGAGCATGAGGAGCTCTGGCTGGGCTTGGGAAGGGTGCTGTGGCTGGGCTCTGATCTCCGCAGCAGTAACACCGTCATGTCCCTTCTCCCCACAGAGCACTCGGCGGCAGCCAAGACAGGTGGCTGCTTTCCTGCTGGAGCCCAGGTGCGCCTGGAGAATGGGGCACGTGTGGCTTTGTCAGCCGTGAGGCCAGGAGACCGGGTGCTGGCCATGGGGGAGGATGGGAACCCCACCTTCAGTGACGTGCTCATTTTCCTGGATCGAGAGCCAGATAGGCTGAGGGCCTTCCAGGTCATCGAGACCCAGGACCCCCCAAGACGCCTGGCACTCACACCCGCCCATCTGCTCTTCACCGCCAACAATCACACAGAACCAGCGGCCCGCTTCCGGGCTACATTTGCCAGTCAAGTGCAGCCTGGCCAGTATGTGCTGGTGGCTGGGGTGCCAGGCCTGCAGCCTGCCCGAGTGGCAGCTGTCTCCACACATATTGCCCTTGGGGCCTATGCCCCACTCACAAGGCACGGGACGCTGGTGGTAGAGGACGTGGTGGCCTCCTGCTTCGCGGCCGTGGCTGACCACCACCTGGCTCACTTGGCCTTCTGGCCCCTTCGACTCTTTCACAGCTTGACGTGGGGCAGCTGGACCCCAGGGGAGGGTGTACACTGGTACCCCCAGCTGCTCTACCGCCTGGGACGGCTCTTGTTGGAAGAGAGCAGCTTTCACTCACTGGGCATGGCTGGGCCAGGGAGCTGAAAAGATCCCTCCGCTGTCCTCCCTGGAACTGCCTGAATGGATCCAAAGGCCTCCCTGCCTGGAGGGCACTGGCCCTGGAAGGGACCTGAGCAGGGGTGATGGATCCCACCATTTCCTCTACTGCAGAGCTATACCATTGAGACTTGACTGGGCAATGCCAGTGTCCTCCACCACCATCTTGGTGTAGTGACAGAGCTGCAAGCTGAGCTGGCAAGGGGGGTGGTCTGTCCTTCTAACCTATAGAACTCCAGGCTGGCACAGTGGCTCCCTACCCAGCCAGCTCTCACGACGGTTTTTCATTTTTGCCTCCCCCAATGGGGAGAGCCCATTCCATCTGTCTTAGGCCCCCTTCGGTGGGCTTGCACCTCAGTTGATGCTGCTAGATTCCCTGGGAGCCAGCAGGGAGCTGGCTGGATTCAATGCTGCCCAGAACTGAGAAGTCTGCAGGGTGGGGCAGCTATTCTGGTCATCCTGAGACATGTCCTCCCTCCCTAGCCACACTCCTTGGGACACATCCAGAGACTGTTGCTGTCAGTGGGCAGAGTTCTGTGTTCTAGCCAATGTGATCACAGTGCCCGGAACCAGCGGAGTGGGCTGGATGTCCTTCCCATCTCTGTCCAGGCTAAGCTCCCTCTTCTGCTGAACCATGACCCCCACCCCCTCCTCTGGTCAGTCTCCCCCACCTTATTTATTGGCGCCAAGGGAGAAGCCCATGGGAGAATGTTGGGGATATTTTGGTCTTTTCTTCCTTTTGTAATAAAAATTATTTAAGTTGTTAGAGCCATAGAGTCCAGAATGCTGAGTGGGTTCTGTCATGGATAGTCTGGAGCCAGGGGTGGGCCTGTCCAGGGGTGTGCTCACTTTCGGTGACAAAACCTCTAGTGCTCTGCCCCCTCTGCAGGCCCTTTCTCATCAGTATTTCTGAGAAGTCCCAAAAGAGAGCTGGGCGCATGCTGGGCCAGGCCTTAGCATGCTGACCCCATGGTTGGACCAGAGAGAGGTGAGGTAGCTAGTCGACCGTCACTTCGCTCATCTAGAACAACCTCTTATGCTCCAGTCAAGGTGCTTTCCCTGATGACTCCAGCCTTTCTTGGGGCCTGGGTTTCTGACTCTTCACTGTGGTAATGGATCATGGCAGGAAACGATTCTGGAGACATCACATCTGCCTTCTGACTTGGATAAATCAGAGTCCCTAACCTGGCAGTTCTTAAACCTCAGAATCACCTGGGAAGCTTGTTTGAAAGTTATTCTTGGCCCCACTCCCAAGATTTTGCTTTAATAGATCCAGAGAAAGACCCAGGAACTTACTTTTACAAACACCCCAAACATGGCAGATGGTCCATGGACCACACTTTGAGAAACATTGCTTAGTCTAGAGAAGGCCCATTTTACTGCCAAAACAAGATGATCCTCTTCTTCATTTTGTCTTGGTCTTTTTATCCCAAGGCAGGTTTTTCTGTGCTCATTACAGGTTAGCTGATTCCCAGGCTCAGTGGTACAATTGTTGAATTTACAGAAATTTCATGAGCCAGTTGATATAGACCATTATGGGGCTATTTACACCATGGAAATTGGTGTATGCTACAAATTAGGGTTTCCCACACTGTGGAGAGCCAACTGATAGAGCGCACCACTGCCCAAATTCTACCCTCCTACAGAGATTACTGTTGGGGGTGACCTTGCCCATCACCCACCTCCATGGAGGAAAACTCCAGAGAAAACTTCAATCCTTGGGAACTGTGTCATCTGGGGGGAAATAGGCTTTAATGAATAAAAACTGCTATCATTTAATGAAGAGTCCCCATTGCCAGGCATGGTTATAAGTGCTTCACATGTAGAACCCATTTAATTTTTATAACAGCCCCATGTGGTATATACTATAATATTGTCATTTTCCAAATGAGAACACAGAAGCACAGGGAGGTTTAGTAACTTGCCCAAGATTATGCAACAAGTGACAGAAGTAGGATTTGAACCTATGCATCTAGCTCTCGGACTCACTGCTTTTTTGTTTTTGTTTTTGTTTTTGAGGTAACATTGGTTAATAACATTATATAACTTTCATAACATTATAATTAAAAATCTGTATACACTATAGTGTGCTCACCACCATAAGTCTAGTTTCCATCGTCACCATACTTTTGACTCCCCCTTACCCATTTCTCCCTCCCCCATCCCCTAAGGCCCCCTGTTTTCACCACAGGCTTTTCCCTTGGTGAACTTGGGTCTTATCTGGAAGGTCCTGGCATGCCAGACCTGCAAAGCTGCTTTGTTAGAAGTTCTAGAATGGACTCATCACTCTGTGGCAGATGCTCATGAACCAGGCTCACAGGAATCAGAATGTCCATGAATTCATTTAAGACGACAAACATAAAAGGTCAAGGTCAAGATACTCTTGTCACTCATTTTCACATTCTCTCCCTTGTAGGCATTCTACGTGTGAGAGAGAGAGAGAGAGAAAGAGAGAGGGAGGGAGGGAGGGAGAGAGGGAGGGAGGGAGGCTCTCTCCTGTGGAGTTGGGGAGGGAGCATTACGCATCTCTCCTTCTGGCCCTGGGTACACTCTGTCCTGTAGACACAGAGCCATTTGGTGCCCCCAGGCATTTCTGTTTTAGATGGGCCTACCCAGGAAAAACATTCATTCTCTGACAGGGAAGGCTGCTAGGCTTCAGAAAAAAACTTTGTCTGAATTTAGTCCCTCAAAAGACCAACTTTGGGATGAAGGTGGGGCCCTGCAGATTTTCTGGGGATCCTGGACTCAGGTCCGAGGAGACTATGTGGGCAGGAAGACAGGAGAAACAACCTGAAAAGTTGCCCTCTGCCTCTGGAGTGTGATGCCCTAATCCCTCCCGAACCCGATGCCAAGGCCCAGTAGAAGGTCAACCACAGAGCCTAGGCCCAGGCAGCCACTGACCCAAAGCCTGGCTCATGCTCAGCCCTTGGCCAAGGCTGCTGTATCCACACTTGTAACCTTCATTCACCTGTTCAGTCATTGCTTCCTGGACACCCTGTGTCAGGCCCCGCCCCCAGTGAACGGGATGGCAGGGAGCAGCCCCGGGAGAGGGGTAGCCATGCCCTGCGCTGAGGGCTGTGCCTGCTGTCCTCACGGGGCTACTGGAGAGCCACAGAGAGGCTGGAACCAGGACAACTTCCTGGAGATGCGGGCCCTGCAGGGAGGGCAAGGAGGTGAGTAAAGGAAGGAAGGGATCCAGGGTGAAGGCCACATGCAAAGGCTTGGAGTCTCCAGTGAGGCTAGGCTGGGCTGGAGGAGCGCCCAGCAGGTCAGCATCACAAAGCCGGTCAGTGCGTGTGGTTTGGCAAAGCTGAGGCAGACAGGTGGGCAGGAGTTAGAGTACACAGAACTTGTGTTCCATGCATTTGGACTTTATCCTGGGGGCTTGGTGAACTCCTCGAGGGTTTGAAGTTGGTGAAACTTGCAACTAGATTGTTTCGGAAAGCTCACCCCACTGCTGTGTGGAGGGCAGACAGGAGGAGGCAGCTACAGAGGCAGGGAGTCTATTTACTAAGTAAAAACATTCAGCGACTTCTGGCCTGAAGAAGTGGCTATAGGAGTCAGAAAAATGGTAACGGACTGTAGACATTTGGGCAGGAAAATGGCCAGGACTTGAAGCCGGTTAGGATAAGCAGTAACAGTGAGAAAAGGGCCCAAGTCAACTTCAGGTATTTAAGCCTGAGATCCAGCTCCCCCATGCCCAGCACCCTTGACCTTGGTTGTGAGGACTTTGGAGCAGCCTGGGCAGATTGCCCTCAGCATAAGGGCCACTGCACCCTGGCTTCTTGACTTATCTGTGTGAAAGCCTCTCCTCAGGTCCCCCAACACAACCTCAGGCTTGCCTGCCTGCAGATGGCTTCTAACAGTGAGAGGTGCTGTGTTGGGAAGGGCTGAGCTGAATGCAACAATCCTTTAGGCAACCAGGCCTGCTGCTAATGCTGTAGCCCGGGTGTGGGAACCAGAAACAGGCACCTCTCCATTAAAAAACTTAGCAAAATGTCCCCTAGGAGATCCAACTAGAAAAGGCAACCCCTCTGACCTGGTGCCAGGGAGACCCTTGCGTGTGGGGCATGCAGCATGTCTGGGTTTCCTGGCAAGGGTGGTGGTGGCAGCTCCTCCGACCCCATGCCCTCTGCCCCCTGGGTGGGACACACCTCCAGGAGCTTGCCCCATGCCCCACACCCCAGCTTGGTTCTCAAAGCCTCTTTGTTCTACTGGGACAAGTTGTGGCCAGCCCAGACCCGATAAGCCTGGGTCAGGCTGATGGCAGCCCTGCCCCTCGAGCCCAAACCACACCCAGATTGCCTTGCACGCACATTGAATCCCCCTCAGATGGGCATAGATTCAAGATGCTTCCTGCCCAGGTTGGGGTCTAGAAGCCTTAACCTCTAGGCTGACCCTCCCTTTGTCCACTTAAGACCTCCTCTCATCTGAATGGGGAAGCAGGATAAGGAAATTATCCCCATTTTAGAGATAAGTGATTAAGTCTCCAAGAGGAAAAATGACTCACCCACAGTTATTTATCCCACAATCAGGAGCATCAATTGTTCTAGGTCTGCTATTTACAGTATCTTTTAAAATCCTAACAGCCCATGAAGTGAGATTGTTCTTAATTCCTACTTTGCAGAAAGGTGAAGTCCAGAGGCCCAGAGAGGTGAAGTCACTTTCCCATGGTGACACAGTAGCAGAGTCCAGACTGGAACCCAAGTGCCCTGCAGCAGCAACTGAGGGAGGTGAGAACTGATGAGTCACCATCCCAGTGGAATGGGAGGAAGTCACTTCCAGCATCAGCCGAAAAGATCTGATGGAGCTGGAGTGGCCAGGAACCTGTCTGGGAAAGTGGTTTTGGAGGAATAATGTTCTAGACACTATGAGAGAATCCCATTTAGGTAGGAGTGGCAATGGTTAAAATATGCCCACAATTATTTGATACTCCTCCCCCCTTGAATCTAGCCTGAGCTTAGAAAAAGGTGTGTAGCTTCTTCCTGGTTCTACCCTGAGATTGCCAAGCTGAAGCATCTATAGATTGGTGTTCCAGTCCACAGCCAGCACAAACTTTCAGCCACGTGAGGGCACCGCCTTGGACTCCAGCCCAATGGAGCCTTTGGCTGGATTCAACCCTCGCCAACATCTGAATGTAACTGCATGAGAGACTCCAAGCAAGAGCTGCCTGGCCATGCCCTTCCTGAATTCCTGACCCACAAATGCATAAGCAAAAATAAAATGATTGTTTGGAATCTTGAGGCTTGGAATAATGTCTTGCACAGCAATAGCAAACAGAACAAAGGCAAAGAGGGAATGGGAACGGGTGAAGGCATCTTCTGAGGCTTTCCAGGGGCCTTTAACACCCTTTTACACAAAAACTTTTTTAAAAGGAGCCTGCATGAAATTGGAGGAGGTGTGATGCCTCTTCATCTTCTAAAGGGGCAGTGGGAGAGGACACTGACTTGGAGTAAACTTGGGGCAGAGAGAGATGGAGATAAAGGGAAGAGTTGAATAAGCATATCTCTTTACACTCAACTGACTGAAAAAATGTTATGTATCTGCTCTAGCAGCAGGATCTCTGATAAAGCAACTCTTACAGGAATGAAGAGCCTCCTGGGAGGAAGGAAGCTCATGGATTCGGGCTAGTGGCTAGCAAGAAGTTGTACACGGCCAAGTGGAAGAAAGTGCTCTTAGAGATTTTTAAAAACCCAATGTTAGATATTGAAGAAAGTGCTCAAAGGTCAGGGACAGATTGGAAAAGAGCTGGACATTCCTGTGTACTGTTGCTGGCCACATTTTCCCACAGTGCCCCTGTAAGCAGAAACTTGCAGAACCGCTACAAAAAGGTCCATGAAAACGAACTTAGAAGTGCTCTGTTGCCCCGATATACTCCAGGTGTGTCTGCACCTGGCTTCTGCACACACGTGCAAATGCCCAACTTAAGAAAACCCAGAGGAAAGTGACAAGGCAGGTAATAGGAAATGGGTGTGGCTTTGGGGAGTGGTTGGGAGTGTAGGGGTGGAATGGTTAGCTCGAGGACAGGTTTCCTGGTTTTGAACACATAATCCTGAAGAAGCATAAAATGGGCATGGCTAAAATCTAATAAAGAGAGGGAAGTAGCAAGTTTACAGTGGAGAATCCGGGCAGACACTGCTTTAGCTAAGTGATCAAAGTTAACATCACCAATAAAACATTGACCTCATGTACCCTCTGATATGAGGCACTGAGAAGGGCATATCACCTCTCTGCTATGCTTCTCAATAATGCACACCTTACTCTATTACGAGAAATAAACCCAGATTGAGGGAAATTTTACCAAAAATATACAGTATTCTTCAAAGGGTCAAGGTCATGAAAGACAAGGAAAACTCAGGAAGTGCCCCAGGTGGGATCCTGAATTAGATACTGAAACAGGAAAATGACATTAGTGGAAAATTTTGTGAAATCTAAATAAATTCTATACTTTCATTAACAGTATTTGTTGGACCAAGGTTAATTTCTTAGTTTTGATAAATGATCTATGATCATGTAAGATGTTAATCAGAGGAAAGTTGGGTGAAGGGTTTATGAGACTCCTTGCACTGTTTTTGTGATTCTTCTTTATATCTAAATTTAACTCACATTTTTAAAAAAAAATCTAAAAGATAGAATCTCATAGACCAGTCAAAGGTTGTCTCCACCATACCTGAAGTTCAGGCCAACATCCACAGTCAAAGGAAGCCAGATGCACTGAGCCAGTGGTCATGTCATGACTCCTTTACTTGAGAAAGGACCCTGGTCAGAAGTGAATTGAAAAAGGGTTTGAGGAATTAGATAGAATGGAAAGTCACAGAATAATAGTGTTCTTCATTCATTCAGAGCCTATAATGAGCCGGGCACTGTGCTAAGTTCTTTAAATATTTTATCCCACTTAAATTTCACAAACTTTGAGCTGTTAAAGTTTTCCCTGTTTGTGGAAGAAACAAGATCATAGCTAAGAGCTGGTGCAGTTGGGATTCAAATCCAGTCTGCTTTACTCCAGAGCTTGTTCTTAATCACTCCACTGTACTGTCTTCTCAGGGATGTCCTCTTTTAGTTCATACCTCAAGGTTTCTGCACTGGGGTGGGTGGGAAAAGAGGAGATAGAAGGCAGGAGGAAGTGGGTGGCCTAGGATTGGCTGGTCAGCAGGAGCTGTCCATGGTTCTGGCCAGAGAGTCTTTGAGCTAGAAGGCCAGCGGGGATGGTGTAGAGAAGACAGCTGGGAGAGTTCACACAGAGGAGCACTGCTCAGAGTAGAAGGAAAGAGCAGTTAGATGTGGTAACAAGTCTTTTCCCAATGAGGAGGAATTAGAGGGGGAAAGACTTCAAGTTTTGGCTTGAAATAAATAACCAAGCCTACAGTAACCGGTGAAGTAGGATTTGTCCTTAGGTCTGACCTGCAACTAGTACTATTCAGTAAAGCTATACTGATTATTGAAATCTGGAAATACTTTGGTACTAGTTGCTAAGTAGTCACTGACTGATTCTTCCACTGCTGTGTCTGCTCTCCCAGGCCCCCCC